AATACCAATGATGATAAACACCTGTCATAAACAATGTCCTCATGTGCAACACTGAAAACGTAAATAAAGGTGAAATCTGAATTAGGCGGGTGGATTTTATCATTGTCCTCTTTCTGTTTTGATATTATACTCTGGTTATGTCAGAGGTCACCACTGGGTGAAGGGTATCTGGGAACATCTCTAAACTATTTTTTGTGAATCTATTATGTCAAAATAAAAAGTGAAAAAATTCGAGATAATAATTCGTATCGCATCTTCTTCTGTGTACATCGTTTATTTACAGATTGTTAATTATTAGAAAGAGAGGCTAGAGAACAAAGAATCATAAAGCTAACATGTTAGAAACCAGTCACTTAGAGATTATTCAGAAATGCGGACACTATTCTGAAATAACGTGATGTCAATAGGAAACACATTTTAACTGGTGAAATTTTTTTTTCCATGTGTTTTAGGCACAAGTTGAGGGAAAGGGACAAAGCAACAGTTCGCTTCCTAGGTTACTGAGATTTAAAATCTTCTATCAGATAGAACACTGGTGGTCTGAGTTCTAAACCCACTTCTATCTCCTGGCTTTGTCCAGGTTACTCGATCTTTCTTAACTACTTTTTTAGTGGAATGAAAAAACAAATCCCTTATTTTAAAGGGCAATGGTAAGGATTAGACTATGTTCTACGCCTGACACAACACTGGCAGCCCCAAAATACTGGGAAATGTTCTGATCTAGTGATTAGACAAAAATGAAAATGTTAAACATGGAGCCACATACCCCTTGAATTTGCTGTTCCACAGGAAACACCTTTCCCGTCCTCACGGTGTGAGTACTAGAGGTAAGTGACAAGAGACCGACAAACATCTGTCAATGTTTATTGAATATTCAGCATGACTCTAACCAGCCTGCCTCTGGATTAACTCTTAAGTCCCTGTTCTTGATGCTTTTAGGGTTCTAGGAGCTCCTGGAAAACCTAATGCAACTGGGAGACTTCTCTCCCACAAGCAGACGTATAGATGCGCAAAAACGGAGTCACGATTTCCAAGGACTCATAAAGGCTCATTTGCAGGCCCCGGATTAGGAATGTTAGGAATTTCTACTCCAAGGATTGTTTTTTTTCTCCTTTCCTTCGGGGGAGGTGTGTTGGTGGCTGTGAGAATGTTGGTACAGTTTACAGCAGCGGTTCTCAATCTTGGCTGTGCGCCAGAAGCGCCTGGCGGGCTTGATGAGACTGTAGATGGCTGGGTGCCACCTGAGACTCTGATTCAGCAGACCCAGGGAATTGCAATTCTAACAAATCCCCAGGTATGCTGTTGCTGCTGGTCCAGGACCGCACTTTGAGAACTCGTGTGGGGAAATGGGAGAATTAGATGTAATCGAGCTTTTCAGATTTTGAGACAAATCCACCTAGTAAATCTTACTGGCAAACCCTACTCCTCACTGACTAGCTATGTGTCTTTATTTTCACTGGGTCTGTTTTCGCTTCTATAAAATAAGCCTAAGGAATCGGTACTCCGTGGACCTTGTTATAAAGATCAAATGAGGCCATTCATCAAAAGCACACATTCACTATTTCACCGGTAAACAGGGCCCTGCTAAATGTGAGAGCTCACTCCAGGCAGGAGCCCCCTGAGAACAAGAACTGGGCTTTAGCATCCGTCTAGCCCCGTGGCACCTTGCAGAGACTTCACTGATCTAACAGTTCCTGAAATCTAAAAATGTTCTGGGTTAGGAGTTAATAAGATAAACACTCTACACCCTTATAGGCTAATATTCTAGTGACAGCAACAGAAAAAAATTGTCAAAAGAACAGAAGTTTGTGATTGATAGGAAAAAGCAGCCATGGGGAGGGAGGACGTGGAAAGGTATTAGATTCAGGGGGCCTTAAACAAGGAAATACGCTACTGAATTTGGAATCTGATCTATGAGAAACAAGCCGAGGAGAAACATGGAAGCAAAGCATGACCGAGCGGGAGCCGCATGCAAGTCTCCCCCGCCCCCAAAGCTGGACCAAGTTTGGCGTGTTCGAGGGACGGTGTGGCTGCAGCAGTGATCCAGGGGTGGGCAGGGGCCAGATCCGTCCTTGTCAAATCCCCAGGGTACCCTTGGCAATGACTAGGGACAGTTTTGATTGACGGCCGAGCTTGGGGAAGGAGGT